ACCACACACTATATATATATATATATATATATATATATATATATATATATATATTATAAGATACAACTACATTTTTCGGTGAAAAAAATCTTCAAAATTGTTAAAAGGCAATAAATCATATAACGCAAGTCGCAGAGAATGTACTTTTAAGGCAGGTATTCTCTTTCACGATAGAGAACTGAAGCGGAACTAATTCACAAGGAAGATTCCTGTCACTCGATGTGCTTGGGAAAATAAGAAGCGGTTGCAGGCAAAGTCGAGCGTAACGTGAAATTTTTACCGTTTTCCGAAATGCTACGGCGCCGAGTTGGAGTCGACCAGGAAAAATCCTCATCGCACCCCAAGACGCACTCAAGAAAATAACAAGAAGTCAGGCGATTGAGATCGGTCGAAGGGCCGAGACGCGGCGCGGGGACGTTCGATGAGAAAAATTTCTATGGCGGGGCGAAATGCACTCTCGCGGAATTAGCGGAAAGGCAACAGAATCGGACGTCGTTGTGTAGGAGACCGTGCACGAATCCCGCGCGCATGATGTAACACGCGGCTCGCATAAACGACGATTTCTCGACGAAATCGTAACGTGTACTCCACGTGAATTCACGATAAGATTCCCGCGACTTTATTGAATTTTCCGGGGCGGCGTGAGACATATCCCCCCCTTTCTCCCGCCCTTCCCTCCCGATTCTGAATTCCGCCCGATCGTCGAGAATCTCTCGCGCTGCAAGATGCTTCAGGACGGCGGCGCGGTCGATGAAAAGTGCAAGTACATGCGAAAGTCGCGACCACGATGCGTTAAAACCTCGGTTTGTCGATGTTTCCGGCAGCTCGAGCGGCAGTAAAATTTTATCGTTTGCCTCGGTTTTCCCTCGAGGAAGCACGCCTTCCCCGAAACGGCGAGCTAGGAATCCGCGATTTTTATCGAGTCCACCAGTGTCAACCGAGCCGAGAGAGCGGGTGTCTCTATAAATTGTTTATCTTTTTAAGATTTAATTTTTAATTTAATAATAAAAATTTATAATTCAATTTCTACTATTAAATACGATATCTGACCGAATTGCTATTTAAATCAATTAAATCGTGATGTGATATAGAATATGAATGTAATGTAAACCAATGTAAGCGAATTTATATTCACGTATTGTAATATTACATACGATATTCTACTGTAGCGAAAAAGTGGAAAGTTTTACATGAAATCCATGATTATTATTTTCGTTAATTGCATAATTATTTTCTTGCATGTCATTCTAGCGCGTCGTCTTCTCGGATTCTGGCGATTCCGGAGATCGCATTTTCGATGTATATTATTAAGATTATCGACAAAGAACAGTTCGTTACTCCACCCAGGAAGGTCTCGCAGCGCGAAATGTCGCAAATCCGCGATCGATCGCGCGATAATCCACGCGGAACGGGTCACTCATCCACGCGAGGTGAGGCCCCCTCGCGATGGAAATCGTCGCTCGTCGAGATGCTTTTAGGAGCGGATTCGAGGTAATCCTCTTTGCACCGGGTTGCGCGAAAAAGGAAGACAGCGACGGGCGGGAGGGAGGGATCCGTTCCGAAAAAAACGGAGCGCGCGTTCTTCACGCTCCGAAACTCGCCACGTGACGCGCGCGTATAATTCGCACTCGCGAAAGGATATTTTTAATTCTTCGTTTTTTTCCCCGCTTTTTTTTTAATTAAAAAAAAGGCTCTTTCTCTCCAAAACCGCGTGTTCTCAACGAAAACGAATCCGCACGCAATTACGGACGTTCGTTCCCGGATACCTTTATCGCGAGAATCGCGGTGGTCACTGCCCTTCGAAAGTTTCAGTTCGCATTTTGTTTGAATGGATTGGTCGGCACTGTAGCGTTAAACAAGTAATCTCGTTCTCTTTCGTTCTCATTATCATTCGACTCGGAGTTTAAACACTCTCTTCGTTACGCCGCTATTAAAAAATTTCACGTCTTTTGTAAAGTGTACACGTGATTAGTTCTTTCAGTGTCAACCTTGACTTTTTCACAATATAGGTTTGCAAAACTTTCAGACAATTTCACATCATTTTTCTTTTCCGGTACTCACGATCAGTACCTACCAAGGACGTTAGACATTCCTCTATTTTTTTGGCATGTCGAGTTGTATTCTAGAGCAAAAAAAACTACCTGTCCTATTTTCTTTTGTACGGTTTCGCCGACGAGAATGTAAGCTGATCGTTATCAAAGTCCGATATATTTCACCTTCGAAGATAAGCCACCATTATCTTGCGTTGTCTCCGAAGTTTCTGGAGCAACAATGATGACGTCGCACGACGATGAGACGGTGTCGTGTTAACGTGCGCCGCTTACCTTAGAAATCCGGCTGCGACTGCGGTGACGAAGTCGTCGATTCGCTACGAGCGCATCTCTGCCACGAACGATTTTCCGTACACCCGATTCCGCGAACGGCGTGACGGAGTCGCGACCCTCGCTGTCACACGAAACAACCCGCTGATAGCACTGGCGACACAGATCGCGGGAGAAAAATCGCACGACACTTCACTCGGCGATATCCCATTCGCCGATCCTCACACGTGAAATCGCTGCCGACGATGGTCTTCCCGACGATGCCGACGACGCGACGTGAAGCTGCGACGATGCGGCTGCTGACGAATCTCCGCGGCGGACGGTACTGCGAATACGTAGAAAGCCGCATGCGGCAGCCATATGCAGCACCGTGGAAGGTAATTCCGCCCCGTTTGCAGTGTCGCGAGACGCTCTTCAAGTCGGCACAAAGGGCCGTCTCGTCGCCTCCCTTCGTCGCGAAGGGCAGTTGCCAACTCTCCGCTGCTGCTGCTGCTGCTGCTGCTGCTGAGGTCAGTAAACCCCGACTGGCGTCGGCACTTTCTCACTTGCCCTCGGAAAGATGAGGAAAAAATCGTGCGGTTTCACGGAACTCTCGAAGTCCGCATTCGTCGAACGGCACCCGAGAGAGACGACGGTGCACTCGCGACGCACTTGGAAACTCGAACCGCGCTTTTTCTTTTATCCTGAGAAGACCCGCGCTATCGCGATATCGTCGAAGGCACCGAACGTAGTTTTCTCAATCGCGAGTCTTCACACGGATCCTGTAATCCACCTTGCAGTGTGCCGTGTTGTTCCTCTTTCTTGCTTGCTCCGAGAGAATTTAGAAGATTCGTCCGAGGGGTGATGATCTCGAACAAGTTTGCTCACAACCGTGTCGATTCCTCAAGTCCTCGGAATTGGCGAAATTCGCCAGATTGTCGGGGCGGGGGGAGGGGGCGGATAGGGCAACTTCTTCCTTTTAACCGTGGCGAGACGTGGAAAATCCAATCGAGACGAGCAAACCAGGTCGAATTTTCCAGCTCGGGGATATCGGCAGACGCGTCGAACGCGACGCGCGAGAGTCTCGTCTCAGGGAAGACCCGTTCACTCACGATCACGCGAATTTTCGCACTCGACCGGCGGCGCACGAGAGACTCCTCCTCGGGCTGCTTCTCGCGTACCACCGCACTATTTTCTCCCTTTCATTCAATTTTCACGTACACTTCGGTTCAACGCGTCGAACCTCAAGCACTTGCCGCGTTTCCCTCTCGCCGCATGAAATATATATTCTCCCTGATTCGAGACGAGACAACGAAAGGATTCTCTCTGCCAAGTTTCCACTCACTGGATTCAGCACAAGGAATATTAAAGACGCTACTTGTGTTTATCTCACTCCGTTACTCCGATCGACGATGGCTTTGCAAAATCCGTCGAGGACACTTGCCGAAATTTCACCCGCGACTCGAGTCGGTTTTCGTGACGCGCGACTCTCCAGATCGCTCTAGATTCCCGAGCTCATCATTCGCCTAACGTCGCGCGCAAACACACTGTCTCTCCAGTTCTACCTCTCTCACGTCATCGAAACGACCGTCGCTTCATGGCCGCGCGCGGCACACTGTTGCTCCGTACGATCGTCCGCCGCTTCGGAGCTCGGTCGCTCGCTCCCACCAAGACCCGTCACGACTCACCCTACCCTACAAGACCACCCCACCATGTGCCACTGCGTTGGCGATCCCTTCCCTCCGCGCGCCCCTCTTCTGTGTGGAGTCGACCGAGACTCCTCTTCTTTCGTCGTGGTGCGTGTGGCGGACTCCTTTCACGAGGGTGCCGGACACAAAACCCACGGGAGGGCGAAAAGGATACTGTAGGGCGCGGGGAACGGGAGCGACGTACCCTCCCTCTCGACGCACATGTACGGCCGAGGAGAGGGGACGAGGGGATGGAGAGCTCGAATTTGTACGCCGCTCCGATTCGTCCTCTCGGGTTTCGGGGCTGTCGGAAGGGCCCCGTGTTGTTTATCCCGATGATTTCTTGATTGTTGGATTTGGCTTATATGAAAATATTTATTTCGTTTTATCGCCTCCGCCGGACAAGTGGAATTTTTACTCAGGAGTTTGACCGATAATAAATTACGCTAATGTAACTACTTTTTTTTATCACATACATATGTAAATGTAGAAAAGAAATAAATTTCTTCCGAAACTTAATTTTATGAACACTATCAAGTGTCGCGAAAGTCTAAATTTTACGTCGCATTTTTTTTCTTATTAATTCGTATAAAATTAAATAGAACAGAATTATATAAGAATTTAAAAAATTCTATGTTAGGGTATTATGTAAACTTGACTTTTTTTGTGGAGACTCAGCGTGGAGAAAGCGATACACTTGGGCTGGAATTAACTTTGTGCGTATCACGTTTCGTGGTCGATCCAGTTTGGTGTCCTTCAAACCAGAGGCATTATATTCGAAGGATCATCGTACCTGCCTGCACAGTGGTGCCCTCTCAATCGTAACAGGATGTGTTATGTACAGAAAGATGTTTCATACATTGTAGACACGGGAATGAACGACCCTCCCCTTAAAACTTCTTTGTTAAATATAAAATCTATGAATCAACTTATGAATAAAAAAATTTCGAAGGATAATCGGAAGACAATATGATCGAATAATCTTCGCGTAATAGCGGACATTATTTTGTCGTAATACTTGCAAAAAAATTAAATATGATACAAATAATTAAAGAAAAAAATATGACGCTTTTTCTCTCTTATTTTCTACTTATGTGCAATAAAAATACAAAGCACTTTTTAAAAGATGCTTAAAAAAATATATACATATATTCGTACAATGTCTAGTAATATCACCGTTAATTTTATACATTATACGCTCGCATTCAGAGACGCGAATTCGCGACGATCCCGGAATGCGTCTTCGCGTGCCGTCTTCCCTTCGTCGTGCTCTCTTCGAGAGAGCGTAAGAGAACGCGCGAGTTTACATCTGTGCTTGCCGACGGTAGTCTCGCGCCGTCGGGCCCGCACAATGAAGCGGAGCCACCGGTAAGAACGACAGTGCGTTTCGTCGCGGGATTCTGTAAATAAGAGACGGTAAGTGGGAGCTGCGAATTCACGAGCAGCAACGACGACGACGACGGCGACGACGACGTTCGTTGTCGTCGAAACGGCGTTTTACATTAGACGCGAGTATCAGACGAGCGCCAGTTCAAACAAGGGAACTCGCGTCGTCGCGGGAAGATTCGCGCGATATAATTCCCGCGACACAGCAGCGAGTCGTGTCGTTTCCCCGTGCGCCCTCCCGCGAGAAACACCTTACCCGGTTCACGAATCCGGGAAACGATCGATCGTCGAAAGACGACGACTCCCACGGGGGAGCCCTAATCGACTGGCCGCGTTTGACGCCACCTCGCCTAATCTTCTATGTTTCCGAGGAAAGTTTTTCCGCGCGTCGCCCGTGCGGATTCCGCCAGGGGAGACCGTAAAGGTACCCACCGCCGCCCGCTAAGTGATATCGATTGCGCCACGTTGCACTTTCGAGCCCGCGATGCATAACGGATCACGTAACCGATAATGATCGCCTTGCGCCTCGCGATACGCGTTGTAATTACCCCCAAAACGTGGGCGATTTAAAATGCACCGTTATAGAAAATTGTTTGGCGCGACGATGAATTTGTAATCTTAAAATGACAGACTGCTATTATTATTTTACTGGATTTTCTTTCTCTCTCCCGTTCATATATATTCATCCATTTTTATGATATCAATTCACATATAGAAATCTATTAAAATAAATATTTTTTCTCTACATGTTGAAAATAAAAAAAAAAAAGAGAACAGTCCATCAACGATTTTAAAGATCAAATATTTTATGTCGCAGAATTTATCTTTCTATCTCGTTTCATGTGTGTGTGTGTGTGTGTGTGTGTGTGTGTGTGTGTGTATTCTTAGACGATAAAAAGTTTGATTACATTATAAATAAGTATAACATCCGTTCTATCCGTTCTAATCCGCCGATTTATCGACAGATAAATCAGTCTCACGGAGTCTCACAATTTTCGCGCAGAGTTAAGCGCGACTCGACTGTGGTACGATCTCCTTATCTGAAAACCGCTTATCAGGCCCGGCACCTCAGGCGCAGGAAGTCGGATTAGATGGACGAGGTAACGGAACGTCCGTCTTCTTATCGACGCGCGGCGGAAATCCGTGGATCCCCGGCGGCGGAACTCGCGGGACCATAATTCGACGTATGTGGGTCATTTGGCTCTCGCGAGACAGCCGAGGGAGCTGTACGTAGGTGGAAAGAAGAACGAAACGAAGCGAAGGGGATATGCTCCGGACGGCGCGGCGGCGGCGCGGCGGATATGCAGCACGTGGACGGATATCCCCGGCGCGCTCGGGAAACCAGAAACGTGCCCGTGCCTTCGACGCGTTCGTAATATTACGGCCGGGATCCCCCGCCGGCAGGACGTGTCAGAGCAGAAAACGTGTCAGAATGACCATTACTCTTGAGAAGAATAAAGAATTGTGGAGGAAGAATTTTATCCCCACGCCATGTGATACGATTTTTCATAGTTTTCATTTTTTCGATTTCGCGCGCGATCGTTCTCCCGCCTTCCCACCTCTTTCGCGTCCGCGTGCACGCGCGAAAAGCAATTCTGGCCTCGCGGGAGCCGCGTGAGACGAGTTTGCGGGACGAATCGCGAGCAAACATTCGAAGGAATTTATTTTATTGCTCGTCCCGGACGGTAAGCTTGCGCGATTGGAGAATAATATGAG